GAACTGCCATTGCAAAACCCGTACACAAAATGGATGTCAGTCAGTCCTCTGTCTGTAAATCTTGGCATTTTAAATCGACTTAATGAAAATTTTGATTTTTATCTAGTAATTTTACACTACTATAAATGTCAAAATAAGTCATAACAAATCAAAACAACTTTTGTTTGCAGTCATGGCTAACTATGTATAATCAACAATTCATTTAAATTCGCAATACATTTCCTATCATGTGACAAATTTTTTAGTTTGATTTTATTCAAAAATGGCACAATTTATCGATATTCAATAAAAGTACCTTTTTTATGTAGAAAACCCTAAATTTTCAAATCCTAAAATTGAACTTCAAAAATAGAATCACACAAAAATTTTGGGGCTAAAACAACCTGAGTCCGTCCCTGCTACATACGCTTGCAAACAAAACTGTCTAAAATTGTTCATATTTTTGAATCCAGAAAAAAAAACTAGGATAGAATACCAAATTTTATGTCTTTATCTCACCACGTTTCGGAAATATTAAGGAAAAACCATCTTCAGGGGAGCCCCTTTAAAAGACCGTATCGCCCTTAGGGGACGTTTGTCGAGCTACGTTTATATAAACTTTTCTTCCTATTTTAAGCTCTAGAAACCGCTGGTAGAATATTGCATACTTTTTTCGGGACACCCTGTATAAAAATTTGACAATAGCGGAGTAAGTGAAATCATTGGCACTCTCAGGGCCTTACTCTAAGGAGTGGAGACAATTTATAAGAGGTTAACGTAGTGTATATAATAATTGGTGACAAAATTGCTTGAGAAGTACTGGGTCAGTCTACTTGGCGCCATTTTTCTCAAGACGTGTGAATAACGTATGTCCTGAAAATCTTGACATAAAGTATTTATCAGATTTTTTTAATGAGGAAATTTATTCAAACACTAACTGGTTATCATAAATTAAACTCAATATTTAACTATACTAACAAATTATGGAACTCAAATCAACTACTCTCAGCTTTTTGTAAATTCGCCGTCTTAATGTTCCTCACTTTGGGCTTCCCAGCATCCGTGATAAAACTTCCTAGACAGTAAAGTCCAAAAATCCTATATTGAGCGAACCTGCGGAGAGTCTGGAAGATTATCGTTTTTGGGAACAGAAAGCCTGTTGTGCATATGGATATGGTCATTAGCATAATGTTCGTGGATAAGCTGGAGCAATTTGGAAAGGCAGTTATCAATATAGCTCTGACTATTCGAAGCTTCACCCCTCGCTCTTCCCACAAAAGGTTGGGATACACCCCTGTTAGAAATTACGCACCAGACAAGAATTTTATTTGCAAATTTCCCTTCAAGTTTGTATCTAACATTGTCAGTGCATTCCTCTACGTTTTCTGTATAAAATACTTCGTTTCTCTTCATTTCTTAATTACTCAAAGTGAAATACTTTTCGTCATCTAAAATAATGATTTACTTCATTGGCAAAGTGTACCCCCCACAGATGACGACAGCATATTCAACGATATCGTACTCTTAGAAGATCTGTATTGCCGAGCCGGTCTCCATGTTGATATTCCAACCTGGCTTTTTGCTCTTCTCACCAATCTCTCTAACTTCCGTGCGATAAATGCACGTGGTTTAGCACTTTTTGGGAGATTCAGTTATGAATCGCACTCGTCTATTGTTCGATAAATGGTTCGGCGTCAAATGTTTTCATTCTGGAATATTCGCTAGATTTCAGCTTTGCGTATCCTCCTAACCAACTTGTAGATACTTTTATAAATTTCTAATTTATACGAGATCTTCAAGCAAAGACATGTCAACCGACAGTAAAGTAAGTAAACAACCTTTTGTTTCCAAAGGCAACTTAATATTATTATGTGTTTGTTAAAATTAAAGCTAATGAATTTTGTGCCGTAACTTTTAGTACATACGTTACGATACCTAAGTCATATAAATATTTCAAGCATTTCTACAAATTGTCACCAAACGCATCCAGTATCTTCCAAAGTACATATACATCTTTATCTACACAAAATAGACCTGATGTGTAAGTCAAATGTTGTATAATCTAGACACCTTGTTCCTCGCGCCGTCAGAACAAGCTGATTGTTACCCGCCCTAACAAGTTGAGCTTTTGTACAAAGTTGCTCCATCAATACATTCACAGTGCGCCTTCATATACAAATTTCCCCCCTTAACGTTATCCGGCAGTTCCCTTCAATCTCTATTCCCGATTGAATAGAAACTTGTTTTCTCAGATCCCGGGAGCTTCTTCCGGAGGCCGCTTTCCCGTTGATATAATCCTCCTCCTATGTACACTCTGCCAAAGTCTCTTTGAACATAGATCAGGGAAGATGGTCTCACGTGTGTTGGGTGGACAAACGTAAATCATACATCACATCGCAAAACAAATGGCAAGAGTGTTCCAAGTTCTAGTTGAGCTACTCTGAGTGACTGTAAATATACCGGGTGTATCAAATCCGACTGTCACCATTGGGATGCAGAAAACGGCAAAAAAGCGAAGTCAATTAATTGGGCGAGAAGTTGCCATTTCGAACTAAGTAAATGGCATATACAATAATTCGTAATCCACAGTATTCCCGGGGTTAGACAGAAAAAGCTGAATTTTCGTCGTTTCAACGCTTTCCTGACTTCATATGTGTGCGATCTCAAAATAAATTACACATAAACATTGCCCATCCTCTATAAGGTGAAGTCATAAGAATTTTAATATAATGTTCCATTTCAATCAGCAACTTTATTTTTTCTTATGGGCGACATATCGGATCTTTTTTACAGGTAAATAGGGTTTTTAATTTTGACTTCAAAAATAATAATGTCATGCATTAATATCGAAACACTATGATTTTTGAACAATATTCCTTTATAGGTAGGCCTTGAAATTATCAGATAGGCGTCTGTTCCATATTATCATAAGCCAAGCATTCCTTCAGTCCTTATGAAGGTACGACTTAAGTTGACGCTATAAAACTTGAAATGTCTAAAGAAGTAATAATCTTCCTTTGGTTGGTCTCAAATTATCGAACAAAGAACAAAATAGCTGGTAACCTTTTCACTTTTCGTTTAATTGTAGTAATGAAAATATTGAAGGCAGTATGATTTTCATAAATTGATACATACGTTTTATAGTAAGAGAAAGCTTTGACGGTGTTTTATATCCGTCATATCTGAACCGGTGCACGTATCTTGTATTCAAATAATGTTAATCTGTGATTGAGATGTCATGTGAGAAAGATCCGTCGTGACAAAACGACGCTTATTATATATAGTCGATAAATATAGTCGATTTATCTGACTGTATTTCAGAACACGCTTCTGAACAAGCTTAAGCCATCCTCAACTGGTGATGTAATCGAATAAGCATTTGATAAGCTGTCATTTTCAAGGACGTCAATAAACATTTTAGTTTTTCTTTAAATAACTATGTCATTATACATAGTCTCAATAAGGTATGTAGTCAAACTTTAACCATCGAATCCTTGGTCAATTTGAAGACGAAATTTCCATATGAACATGGGTCCGCAACGGCTTTGGTCTCAAGCTAGAATATATTAGCATGAAGCGTGAAGGGCTTAAGAGTCAGAATCGTCGAGTAATGTCTGACTAGACAAAATGCTCCGGGTATTTTCAGGAGAGTTCGTCAGTCAATATGAAACAGACTAGACGCCTGTATTGAAGTCGAAGGTGGCCATTTTGAAAATTTATTGTAAAAAAACTATTCGACATTTTCTATTGTTGTAGTTCTATTCGAATGTTACGGTTCAAAACTATTGACCTTCTAAATATTTTTTTTCCAAAAATACAGAATAATACTATTCTCATCCACGTTCATATTGAGCCTCAGCAACTTGTAAAACATGCAAAATTTATCGTCGGTTATACCAACTGTTCAATAATTATTCATCGAAATATTTGGATCATTGCTCCTATTTCTTTAGTGATAGTGCTCTAGCTCGAAAAGAAAGCCGTTCTGGCCCCATGTTCATATAAAGATTTAGTCCTCAAATTGACCAAGGATTCGATTGTTAAAGTTTTGTCTACATACTTTATTACCACCCGTATATTTTTAAAATCGTAAAAATTATATTTTCGTGTGCAAAAAATGGCGTCAACATTTTTAGCTTTTTAGCTAGTTTTAAAGGCGGGCAAATGTATGCTGTGTGGAATATGACTAATAGGTACATACAGTTGCCAGAGTTATGAGCGTATAAATATACCGAGAAAAAAATGTTTTCATATACCCTCCCCATCCCTTACAATTCCCAACCCCCAAAATTGAACCCTTCAATAATTTCTTTGAATATGATCAGGACTCTCTTTGCAAATCTGATCTCTCTCAACGTTTTTGGGAAATCACTTTTTTTTCGTCTACCTCTATAAATACTCCGAATTGCAAAACTTTCCAAGTGCCATTTTGCCTTTGTTACCCAAATGCAAATATATCTTATCATTATGAGATCACAATGGTGAGAAATGAATTTGAAGCACCTGGGAGATAGATCTACATTGAACACACATCCTGAACTGTCTGCCTGGATTCTATCTCATTTAGGGTTAAAACCGGGATAGACGCCGCAGCGGGATAGATGCTTCATATTCTAAAAACCTAACTTACCGAACGCGTGACTAAAAATTAATTGTTTAAGTAAGGGCCGCACTTACCCCGCACCACAGTTACCCACGGACAATCGTGCTGAGAAGACGCGTTTCGCTCATGTTTGTCATTATCACCGTGGCGAAATTTACGAACCCACCAAAGTTTTGAAGGTTAGTATTTTGTTTTGTATAACTTTATAGTTAGTAATAAATTCCGTTATATTCCTTATAAGGTTAATTCACTAGTTGATCAAGTCTGCATGTAGGTGTAAATTTCTTCAATAAATACTTGGGCATCTATCCCTATCACAGAGGATAGTTGCCCTAATTTTTTGAGGTATAGGTGCCCTTATATGGCATAAGCACACACATATTATTATTATATTTAAATATTTTAGTTTGTTTTTTAGCAGAACCATGTCACGAAAATGTAAAAGAAAGGAAGGAGTGCAAGTTCGAGTATGTTTTTGAATTACAGAAAGCCTACAGGCAGCTTTAGATGAAATGGACAAAAAAACTATGGGGATAAACGAAATATCCCGTCAATTTGGTATTCTATCAAGGACATTGAGAAGACGATATGCTGTCAAAAATAAAACAAAATTGACCATGGGTATGTATTAAAAATCATGTAGGTAGTACAAGATATCATAAACTCTTATTTTACTGATTGCTATCACTAGTTTCTAATAGATTTATTAACGTTAGTCATTTGTTTTAGGAAAGCACCCTGTTTTAGATTTGACAACGAGAAGAGGCTAGTAAAACACATTCTTAAACTTGGTGAGGCAGGATTTCCTCCAAATAGGCAAGCCATACGCATGTTAGCTTATCAATTTGCTGGAAAACTAAATCTGAAACATAATGAAATGGCTAAAGGTGCATGCCTCAAAAGTTTTATTGAACGAAATCCGGAACTATCTACCAGACAAGCTGAACGTTTATACTGATACTTAATATAGGTACGAATAGTTTATAACAACAATTTAGAATTTATGTTTTTTGTTGGTTAAATGCTTGTAAAGTTGATTTTACCAAAAAATAGGATTATGAATGTTGTAACTTGAGAATTTATATGTTAATTAAACAAGCCCTCTATAATATTTAATGAGAGTTCCTAATTTGTGTGATATTAATTTATCTTCTAATTATAACAATAACAATATTAAATAATAACAAAAAGTTTTCATTATTATGTCGCATGTTTCTTGGAGATAATATGCTGCTGTTTTAGGAGTAGAACTTCCTAACATTTGGATTGAGTATTTTGTTTACAGGATATGAAGGGCATCTATCCTGCACTATAGGCATCTATCCGTTTTAGTTTTTTAATGGCGGGGCAACTATCCATATAGATAGGCATCTATCCTCAAAAAAGAAGTTCCACGAAAAGCGGATTTCTGCGAAATCTGTAATTGATAGATTCAAAACTGATGATAGTTATTCAACATAAGGGATTGAACTACCTACATTCATAGAATTTATTTATAAAAAGTGATTAGTCTTAAAATTAGGTAAATATTTCAAAAAGTGGGGCATATATCCCGGAGTTACTATAGTTTAACTACCAAAACCCCGAAAGCTGCTTGACTTACACACACAATGAGTCGACGGATCATCATTTTTTGGGACAGTCTGTATAATTGTCTCAAAAATGAACTTGGCAGATCATTCGACTGGTGACGAGGAACGCCAAGCAGTGTCCCTGAAATAAAAGTTGTCCTGTACTGTTAATCTAGACGCCGCGTTCATTCTTCAGAAGTTGCTTTTACATACAGAAACACCCCGGTAGCTGCAAGCTACCGAAAGCAGGTATGCATAAAAGAGGGAACTGGCACAATCTGAACATCTTGCTATTCGAGAAACGGGAGAAAAACGAATTGAACTGGATCGACAAGCGAGAAGATAGTGAAACTATACAGCTCTAAAGTGTCTATACAACTACGCTGTTGATTATGAGGGATTGGTTTGGCGTAGATTCATTTACAAAATGAGCAGTCAGAGGATTTAGTATAAACTGCATAGATATTTGCAATTTGGTTTGGAAGCACACATACGTTTGCTAGCGATCTTCGGAATCTGATATTTGTTTACAACAAAGCAGCCGTACAGGCAGAAGACTAAATGACAGGACACTGAGGCTGCCATGAGGATCTCAAAGAAACATTGTTAATCCGATTTTTGAACTACTTAACGTTAGTAAAACTGGGAAAAGCCTCCTTTTGTAGATTGTTCCACAATCCCGACATCCTAGGGATAGAGGAGCGGTCGTATCGGCCTGTTCTCGATGTTCGACACGGTTAGGATGGGAAGCGGGTCTGTCTGGCAAGCACATCGCGCGGCGGCGTCATGTAGGAGAGCTCTAAGGAGCAAAGCCCGTTGGTGCAGCGGTAGAAGAGAGCTATATCGCAGATTGTCGGTGGCGTCTAGGGGCCACAGTGACAATAGAAACTGGCACACATTTTCAACAGACTTACTTTTGCAGTGGCCAATTCTAGTGATAGGTGGCACTTTGTCCTGTTTTATTACGTTACAATTTATCTAGTGAAACTTGCACAGAAAATTATAATTCCATTCTAGCCAATTTCACCATCATTAATATTTAACCGCCAGTTTGGACCAATGGGAAAAGACCTTATTGAAATACAATTTGGCGGAAGTTGTCAAAGCTCTCTGAATATCAGTGATTTCTATTGAATTATTGAATAAAATCGTGAAAAAGCGATTGTATTATATACACGAGCACCTTTTGATTCCAACATGATGCTTTTGTACAGAGAAAACAGGACAATTATCATGTATTTTTTTATAAATATACATATAACATCGGTTATCGTTTTAGCCAATCGAAAAGAGACACATAATAGGTCGATTTTCTAGCTATTAAGTTTAATAGCAGGTTTGGACGTTTATAAATGCATGGTAAGCTCGAATTTGTTAAGTTCAATATACTGAATGTTTATATGTTATCATTTTAGCTACATACATACATGAAATATGCGGACTTGTTTGTATTTTGCATGAAAAAAGAATATAAAATGTATCCGGTCAATTCCTCATCTCTCGTTACATCATAGTAACAATCATTTATTAACAAATTATGGTTTCATGAATTTCTTCCAAGCAATCAATACAGTATGTACTCTCCTAAAATACCGGTATCTGTAAAACATGTCAATCCCTACATCTCCGTGGTGCACAATGGAATTACTATACACATAGATCTAAAATTATCAGTAATTACTGAAAACAAATTATAATTGTAATAAAATATTGGTGGTTAAGTTTTTTGACTAGTGGGGACACAAAACATATATACTGGAGAAGTTTAATTCCACGGTTCACGCTATTCAAGGGTAACTGGGCTGGCTTATGTCACGTCAGCGGCCATTTCTGAGGGCGCGCCATGGTTGCCAGATTGTGCAATAACACCCCGCAACGTATAAATCTGAGGTTGCTAAAGTTTTATATATGTATATAGAAATTTGGTGGGACATGAGAGATATATAATTGCATGTCTTATTAACAATTTGAGCTATCGTGATGAATAAGTGAAGCAAAGCGAATCTCAGGCTTCCGATTCTAGTTCTAGGAACTAGTTCGCGAACAAACTACTTTATGCAACACTACCACAAGAAATATGGAAACATTACTAGAGTGGATATTCCAGCCTTTCAGACGAGATTAAGTGAAAACGATTCATTCATATTTTTGAACCATTCTAATGCATTCCTCTAATCACAAATGCATTATGAAACACTAATTTTAAATGTCAATTCCTCAATATTAAAACAAAAATATTTAATTGGTTGAAAAATCTAGCATGTTGTGAAAATAGTAGTTACTGTAAATTGTAGGCTGGTGATGGTACACTTAACATAACCACGTATTTAGGGCTTGCAGGCTTAACGTGTACAGGACAGTGTAATATGCAGTAAAAAAAATCTTGGATGGGCACTTTTTATTTGGAAATTAATTTCTCCAAGATACCGTTTTACAGCAGTACCTCGACGGCAAATATCAACACAGAACAACTGATGTTGGAGATTAGACGACAGAAGACTGATTATTGATCACAGGATGGAATGGATGCGAATTTTGAGTTGCCATATTTCGTCACCTGAGATGTGTATGGTTACATCGTGATTGATGTTGATTTGAAATATATTAACATGTGAATGATACACGTTAGATCGGAAAAGTTTTATGACATTGAAAATTGAAAAAATAAAAAGGTATATTTGCTTAAAATGAGTGAATAAGTAATAACGTAGACAATAAATAATCAAATACAGCAAATGAACAAATGAACTGAAACAGTATTTAATGAAACAACATAATAAATAAAATATGTTGAGCGTACCATGTACCATCGCCGATGTTGCGACTGATTATACACTGAAATCCAAACCAAAAACTGCAACTACAATTGTATGTATGTATGTTGAAAATCTTGAACAGTTCCGGACCATTGGTGTCAAAATGTCGTTGAAAGAAGTGGAAAGAAGTGTATGAATGTGATGAAACGACACATCTAACAAAAATTTGAGTGAAAAGACTTTTTCTAGTAAGGAAGTGCAAGTTTGAAAATGTAGAATAAACTATATACACCCGGTAGGTTATCTTAGGTTAGTATAATCACATATGGATTACAAAAGTTGTGATAAACTTAGAGAAACCTTCAGCTAAACTGAAAAAATTGGATTTTATTCAGAAATCAACCATTATTAAAAATCTTGGCATCAATTTTATATAATTTCATAATATCTAATAAACTGATAACATTTCAATGACAAGCTATCACTTCATATTTTACATTGTTTTGTTTTGAAAACTTTGATGCTATTTGCTGCTAAAAACCTGACGGAGGGATCTTGGACGATATGCTTGGTACTCGTACCCTATTTGTGGAAAATAGAGGTTTGTTAGATTTTAAAATCGGCCCTAAAACTAAGTTCCTCCTTTTGCTTGACAAGCTGTTGTCCTACCACTTGTATAAGAATCGCCGATCATTTGTTCTCATAAACTATCGACTACCTATAACGTGCTTATCATCCGAGAACCTAATAACGCTTTTTATCTGTCTTCTGCAGCACCACGAAACTCAAGCAGCAGCGGCACACGTCGCCAATATAATTCTTCATTTTGCCCCGAGCGGCTACTCGTAATCCAATTGTCGGACTGTGTTCCCTGGCGATTGAAATAGTTTTTCTGTCGCTCGGCTTATCCCTCTTTATCATTTCGAAGAGCCCACAATAAAATGATTTGTGGGTCTAGCTTGATAGGTCTTTTGTAGTATCGACTATGTCTTATATGCTGCCTCAGTTTGAATGCGGGACATTATTAGCCACCTGTAAAAGTATATGAGAAATCAAGTCATGCTATCCAACTCGTTGTTGTTTGGGCGTTATACTTAAAAAATTTCGTCATGTAGATTGACTCTGCACTTCCCACGCCATGCTGTTACCAGTTCATAAAGGATCAAGATCAAGATTCAGCTAAAGCTTCTGAGAAAAAGGTTGGCTATAAATTGACCCTCCTCTTAACCTTTTTGCACGAAATATGTAGTGTCTAAGCTGATTTTTTTCAGGCAATGTCTAATCTATATGTCTCAGAAAGGTGCTATCGCTTTAAGTTATAGGGAAAGCCTTTTATCTTTTCAAAATGATAGTTGTTTTTTTCTGATTCTGAAAGGTTGGGAAATCTCGAAACTGGAGATGCTCAGACCAAAATATATGAATTGACCTGAACATACCTCAGTCCAAAAGTTGACAGTGTGCGAGTTACAGGGTGACAAATTTACAATTTTATTTTCTATTTTTCCTTATTGCTTGAGAAGTTTTTCAGATGTTGGCATAAAACTCGGTATAGGGAGGTTTTCTGGTATGAGAAACAAGAATCCGTTTATGGCCGAACTTCTAGAGGGTGCCACTCACAGCACTATTTCTGTAAATCCTTATCATAACTTTATTGTGCTACCCTGTATACAACAACTGACCAAAAAATCTTATTTTCTTGTATTGCCATAACAAAAAGGTTTATTTGTTAAAAGTGTCTAAAACTAATAGTTTTCGAGATACTTTTTTTCTGGGAATCTTGGTGCACTGAGTAAAATACAAGGTGAGCCCTCAAGGTATTCAGG